TCATCATGTCTACCTTGGGAACGGTGGGTTCCTCAATTTCAGAAGGACTGAAATTGCAGCCAGTGATGTCAGCTCACCGTCACCAAGTGTCCTTTACTGAAGTGTTGCCAGTTAGAATGGTCTGTTGGTCATGGACATTTGTGGGACACGTTGTTCTTAACTGCTGTGGGAGTCAATTCCAACTCATAGCAACCCTGTATAGGGTTTCCAAGGAGCGGCTGGTGAGGTTTGAACCACTGACCTTGGGATTCAAACCAACCTTGTAGTCCAGTGCCTTATCGCACAGTGTCACATCAGAACACTCCAGGGAACATAGAATATTGTAATTTTGGGGTTCATTGAGATGTGAGGTTATGATAAACTGCCTGATGGTAACCAGCCCCCACCTTTTCAAGTCTCAGTTTGCAGCCGCTGACCTATGGAGCTGTTTCCTTAGGATTCAGTGACTTTCCCTGAGTAATATGTTCAAGGAGACACTGAATGGTCATCTGTCAGGGAAGGGGCAGTCATGAAGTTTAGTAGGAAGATTTCAGTTTTGGACACAGATTTGGGATCAAGTTCCAGGTGTGCAATGTTGGGCATATTAGCCAACTTCCCTGAATCACTGTCATCTGTAAATTGTTGATCATGGTAATCGGTGCCTCACATGGCTTTTCTCAGGGTGCAGGGGACAAAGAGCTGGACAACACTTTAGCATCGTGGCGGGCGTGGATGGGGTGCTCAGGAAGTGCTTCTTGTTAGCTCAAGACTGAAATGTTCCCAATGAGACCTGATGGCGCAGTGATTTAGTGCTCAGTTGCCAACCAAAAGGTTAGCAGTTCAAATCTATCCGCCGCCGTGGGGAGAAAAGACCTGGAGATCTCTTTTCCTAAAGATAGCAGTCAACAAAACCCTAAGAAGCATCTGTGTTATAGGGTCACTTGGTGTGGTGTGGTGGGTTAATGCGCTGGACTGCAAGGTCGGTGGGTCACGCTTCTCAGAAGCTCAAGGGTGCATCACAATCACAGCAACAACATTATGTTAACGAGCTTTTAGAGGATTAGAGACACAGAAGAACCGAAGTATCTTCACCTCTCCTCCTATTCCTATGCCTCCTTTTCCTCCTACAGTCACGTCTTTCTCCTACAGAACACACACACACACACACACACACATCCCACGTTCACTCCTGCAGGTACTGTGATCTGCTGAATCCCAGAAAAACCCTCTACATCATCCTCACACACCCTCCTGGGGGAAAGAGTTTCCTTCCGCCTCCAGGACATGCTTCTTGATATCAGTTGAGAAGAATGAACTCAACCCAAAGGCTCTCGGGGGCCAGACTTTGACCCTGGGGTTTGCTGGCTTTGGGCCTTTCTCAGTAAGCAGCTCCACCCCCCAGCATACCTTGCCTCCTGGCCACCCAGCTTCTCCGTCCCTCCCTCAGGAAGCCTTCCTTAAACATCCACAGTCGTGGGTGGGCTCCCTCCCAGTGGGCTGCCCTGATGTGGTGCTTCTTCCCCCTTCTTGTTAACCCCTTCTTGTCATAGAGGAACCAAGTCAGGGTATCTTCTTGGGCCAAGGCTGTGGTACATGAAGAAACGTAGTTCCCTTAGCTTTTGGGTCCACGTCTAGGCTTGTCGGGCACATTGTAGTAGTAATTGTTAATTGCTCTCTAGTTGATACCAGCAGAATGGAACGGCCCCATAGGACTCCTAAGCTGTAATTGTTATAGAAAAGGATTACCAGGTATTTTCTCCCATGGAGCCACTGATGGGGTCACATCACTGGCCTTCCGGTCATATTATAAACCCTCAACAAATCCCAGTTGAATAGCTGTTTCCCAGACAAACAGGGTTGTTTGTGGCTCCCTGCCCATATCGCAGACATGTGGTGGTCATGTGTTCTTACATTCCCATCATCCATCTAGTCCTTCTATGAGGAGCACCTGAGTCCCCCTTGGAGCAGCCCTCGCCCACCACTCTCAGTCCCCTGGGTTCAGGGAGGGCACGCAGCACAGGTTCATTGTGAGGACTCAACAGCCTCTGACCAGAGTGCTTGATGAGAGATGCCATGTGGCTACATGAGGCCAGGGGTAGCCCTACTGGGCTTTCTGCTGCGAGGTTGGAAGGAGCAACCCCTTCGTCCTGGGTTACTGAGTTGTGAGCATTTCAGCTGCTTGAAGCACCCGCCATGTTAGTTCATTCGCAAGTCAGCACAGAGGAGACGGAGCTGAGCTGTGGAGCCTCTTGCTCTCTGGTAACCAAGTGTGGAGTGTAGTTAAGAGAATCAATGGATGCTCTTGTTTGGCTGGAGTCGGTGTGACGTGGA